TAAGAATCATTTCATACCCATTCATACTCTGAAAATCATTTCATACCCGAAGCTCGGCAGAATTCAGTTGGTTCTCCTGATCACCCAAAAAATGCCCCGATTCTAAACAACTGTTCGCCTCACACTTCACTTAAAGCTTTACTGAAAGTTAATGTATCCGTATTATTCTTCCTCCACATTATACGTCAATCATTCAGCCTTAGGATATCAGAATAGTGCGAGTGCTGAAATGCAAATATAAAGTAGAATTTTTTTTTAATGCTAAATTTCTTGAATAATAGCAAGGCTATTCAAGAATATTTGAAATATTTTAGTGTAAAATCTGCTTTGTGAAGCATCACAAAATCGTGGGAGGATGTGTCTCCAGATACTTTAAAAAATGCTTGCCATAATTTATGGCCAGCTAGCATATTTCATGGTGAGGTTGACGAATGTGATATCTGCAAATGTGAAGGTTTTCGGATATCGCAAACCAAAGGTTAAATTTTCTAATTAATGGAATTTTTAAGGAAATGTGAAGAAGTGGTGATAAATGAAGATGATATATCGGAAGTTTTTCATTGCGATGACATTGCTCCAATTATCAATCAGTTAACGGATGTGAAGTTAATAGTATGGTTCTAGATACAGAAAATACCGTTACTGATAGTGAAAAAAGTGACAGAAAGATTATTGAAAATGAAAAAATTTCGATTGACGAGTTAGTCGGAATTCTCGACACAACAATCAGAGAACTTGAACAATGGAACTTTATAACTGAATAAGAAATTATATCTGTCTACAGAATTAAAGAGAAAACATTAACGCAAAAAAGCAAATAAAACAATTTACATTAAAAGAAATGTTTAATAAAATAAGTAAGTATATATTAAACCTTCCCCTTTTTTAAAAATTTTGTTACCCTTTAGATCACAAATGCTTCATTATTTCATAAATCACAATTTCATTTTTATAATTTCTACATGCCATCTTACAAGCATTAAACTGATGATCTAATATCTGGAATTGCCGAAGTCCCAACGAGTCCGTATCTTGGACTTTGTACTGTATATGTAATGTTTGACATTTGCAGCTCTGAATTTCTGCAATTCTTGAATTTTTTAGGCAAAAGTAGATTACATTGTATATGAGGAATCTGTTTTTGCTTGAACAGCATCAGAGAATTGCATTAATTCAGCATTGCACATATTAAACATTGTTTAACTATTCATGATAGGATATAAACAGGCTCTAATATTTGGAGCATATCTGAAAAAGTGGTATCCTGATAACAAAAAAGTGCCAGTCTTTGTTTTCATTTTTAATTGATTATTTATGAAAAAAAATGTTCTTAAATTTGATTTGATCCTTCCCCAGCCTATTTTAAATATTCACATCCCCCACTCTGCATTGTTTGATATTCATTTTTTCAGGTAATGCTGTCAATATTTAAAGACAGAAATTCTTATAATTTTCCATATTTATGCTATTTCAAGTTTTATACAGTCAAAAGTCGTTAATTCTGACTCGTCGGGACTTCGGCGAGTCCGGATTATCGATTTTTCCAGATTATAGATCATCAGTTTAAATCTGGTAAGATGGCATGCAGAAATTATAAAATTAAAAATTTGAAACTGTAATTTATGAAATAAAGAACAATTATGATCTAAAGGGTATCAAAATTTACAAAAAAAAAAAAAAAAAAAAAAAAAAAAGCTTAATATTTATTTATTTATTTATTTTATTAAACATTTCTTTTAATGTAAGTTGTTTAAGTTGCTTTGTTTTATGTGATAATACTTTCTCTTTAATTCTATGAACAGACATAATTTCTTGTTCAGTTACAAAGTTCCGCTGTTCAAGTCCTATAATTGCTGTGTCGAGAATACCAACTAATTTGTCAATCGAAATTTTTTCGTTTTCAATAACCTCTGTGTCACTTTCTTCACTATCGGAAGCGAATTATAATGAGGAGGAATTTGATGTAAATCATATCAAAGATGGTGTACATTTGACATAATTCTATTTGACATAATCGAAAGTTCAAGCTTACTTTTATAAAATTGCTCTAACAGTCTGCAAAAAATAATAAGCCGGATCCAATTCGAAGATTAAGGAACAATGCAATCTGCAACATTAACTGAAATAGATAATTTAGATAGCTTTTGCTTATACCTGTCCGTTATACATTAAACGTGAATGCGTAAACGTATTATGCGTTCATGCATAAACGATATTTGCGACACGTGCAAAGGTTGAGAAAGTTTGTAACTTTGAGGTCAGGATTATAGATCATTCTGGATTATGGGTGTCCGAATTAACGACTTTTGACTGTATAACTATCTTCGCTGAAATTATTGCTCACTGATGATTCTACCCTAAAATAGATTGTTTTGATTTTAAAATAAAAAAACTAAAAAAAACCTCTTTGGATTATCAAGAAATTAAGAGTTTTTAACATGCTATGATATTTTTTTTAAAAGCTGTTCACAAAATTTATGGCAACTGTATCACAGCTCCTCATATTTAAAGTTTTGATATTTTCATTTTGAAAATACTTATGTTGGTACTATTTATGTTCTAAAAATATTTGATTATAATCATACATTTTATTGTAGTTTTACTATCTTGTTCAAATATTAGCATTTGGCTTATTTGTATTTGTCATTCTTTATTTGAAGCTTATGGCCATCCTTGCATTTTCCACAACGGCTAGTTTTTCAACAGAATGTGAATTTTCCATGTGTGAGAAACTCACTAATGATGTAACTGATGCATCTGTTAAATATGAATTTGGTTATCCTTTCTCGTAAGTAACTTCTTCTTTTGATAAATTATAAGACTGATTTAGTATAATTCATGTTTGTGTATGGTTTTGCCTTGAAATAAGGTTATATCTTTTTTCTTTATGCTTAGTCCATGATGCTTATGTGGTAAGATTTTATTATTTTCCTCATATTTATTGAAATAGTATTTAAAATTTTTGTAATGTAATTTTTTAAAAATTGTAATAAGTTGTCATTTATTAGTAAATTTTGTATTTAAGCATTAAAGGTTGTTGTACTTTTTTACTTTTACCTCTTATATTTAAAAAAATTACTCAGTTTTTTTATTCATGGATTTTAATACTTGCAGTTGATTTGCATATGCTATCAGAATTTAAATGGTATTGCAGATTAGTTTGCAACAATAATTAATCATTTATTTGTTTGCATTAAATTTCATTTAAATGTATTAATTTTAAATTTGCCTTTTATGAATAGAGAATGTTTGTTAAATTCATCTAATGAAAACATATGCTGAAAAAACAGGTTGTACGAATAATCAGCAGTTTATGTTGTTATAGTACAAATGACTTTGACAATATTTTTGATGAAATAGAAACTGTATTAAGGAGATTTATTACCACAAGCCAGAGTATTAAAAAAGTGTTATAAACTAGCAAAAGTAGCTGATGTTGCCCAAACTTTACACAGAGTGATGAGGCTTCATTCAGGAAGGTGAAGAGTAGCTGAAATCTCAGGTAAACAGTGATTTTCCTTGTATTTGGTTTGAGGTGAATTGGCAAAATTTTACCAAAATCGAATAAAACTATTGAATAAACAATGTGTACCTCCAAAAGTCTGCGAAGAAAGGGTATGATTTTTTTTTTTTTTTCCTGTACCTTTTTTTTGCAGTGTTTGAAGGTACACATTGTTTTTGTCTTTTTGTTCAGAGCATAGCAAAAAATCTATCTGGCATGCCGACTGTTAAACAAACCAAGTAAAACTGGCCATGAGAAAAATATAGTACAGTCAAAAGTCGTTAATCCGGACTCGTCGGAACTTTGGTGATTCCGGATTATCGATTTTTCCGGATTGTAGATCATCAGTATAAATCTGGTAAGATGGCATGCAGAAATTATAAAATTAAAAATATGAAACCGTAATTTATGAAATAAAGAACAATTATGATCTAAAAGGTGTCAAATTAAAAAAAAAAAAAAAAAAAAAAAGCTTAATATTTATTTATTTATTTATTTATTTTTTATTATTATTAAACATTTCTTTCAATGTAAGTTGTTTAAGTTGCTTCGTTTTATGTGATAATACTTTCTCCTTAATTCTATAAACAGACATAATTTCTTGTTCAGTTACAAAAATTCCGCTGTTCAAGTCCTGTTAATTGCTCTGCCGAGAATACCGACTAACTTGTCAATCGAAATTTTTTCGTTTTCACTAACCTCTCTGTCACATTCTTCATGTCTTTATCCATTTTTGCAGCGATTCCACTTTTTGTTTGTTGGACATCGAAACATACTTTTGTTTTTGTAGATCCTTTGGAAGTTCCAGCATCGGAAATTCTATTTGACATAATCGAAAGTTCAAGTTTACTTTTATAAAATTGCTCTTACAGTCTGCAAAAAATAATAAGCGGGATCCAATTCGAAGATTAAGGAACAACGCAATCATTAACTGAAATAGATAATTAGATAATTTTAGCGTCCGTTATACATTAAACGCGCATGCGAAAACGTATTCTGCACTTGCGCACACGCATATGCGCAGTAGTCAAGGTCTTACGCGCACGCGTAAAACGCCTATGCGCATGTGCCAACGCGGCGCATGCGCAGAAAGTTTTTAGCTTTGAGGTCCGGATTATAGATCATTCCGGATTATGGGTGTCCGAATTAACGACTTTTGACTGTATATGGTATCATGAAAGTTAGAATCAAAGAATATGTATTGTAAAGAAGGAAAACCTCTCTGCAACAGAGGTGGTTCCCTTCCATCATAGAGGGAAACAGCTGTGCATGCGCGATATATCTGTCGCCAAAGCTCTAAACCGATGTCGAAGTTCGAAGGTCACGCTATCAAGAGTTCATAAAATGAATATTGTTTAAATTTTCTTTAAACTCTAAAGGAAAATAAAATATTTTTTGGCGCAAGTAAATTAATTCATGGATTAGTTATTTTGAGGGGGGGAAACTAAGAAAAATTGTTCTTTGATAAAACGTTTCTTCTTGGATTTTTCGCAATAATTTAAAAACGGATTTTCGTAGTTTTCTTTTTTGTCAAAGAACGTTTCTTCTTAATATGTGTTTCTCAATTTCCTGTACACATCACGGATAGGGAAATTCTGGCCGCCAGGTTCCGTCACCAAATCCCTTGGTAAATTTTCCCTCTGCTTTCTAGCGGCGTAATAGCATTTACATGTATGGAACCTTTTCTCTTTACATAGACGTTCTTTGGTTAGAATAATCTCCATGTATGGTACAGCGGGGTTTGGCGACATGATGATGAGCAGTAAACGGGTCATTTTGTTCTTGGCGACAATTTTCAAAATTGTGCGAAGGCCGTACCGTATACTAGGATTTTATCACAAAATCTTTTTTAACCTTTTTTTTTTCTTTTCTTTTTAATAAATAACTTGTCATTTTGCAGTAAAATAAAAAAATAGTAATCAGTCATCTAGGCTAACCATGTAATATAACTATATCGTTGAAAATCGTATCGCTAAAATATCGTTGATTATTCTAATTCAATTTTTAAGTAATTATCTTTATGCTTATGTTATTCATATCATTTAATGTTGCTTTTTCCCTCTAAATTTATTTATCATTAGTAAATAATATTTCCAAATTTCAGGAAATTTTCTCTAGCATAATCCTGAAATTAATTCTAGCAGTATGATGAAATACCATCACGAAATTTAATGCACATATTTTTTTCTTATGTATGCTGCGAAATAAATATAAAATACCTCAATTTAAAAAAATATCATTAAATAGATTTCTTTCTTTCATTTAGCTGCAGAATGTCTGCAAAAAAAGCCTTATTTTATTCTAGATTGGGTAGATTCTAATCTCAATCTTCAGTTGAGAAAACAACTCCTATTATAATTTTATATTTGTGTTTTCAAGTGTTAAGGTGCCTTTTAAGAAGACACCTCACACATTAAGAAGACACCTCACACAAATTAAATTTGTCTAAAATCTAAGCTAACTATTTAGCATTGCGTTGTGATTTATAAGGAACCGGTATTAGCCTCGTGTTGAACTGGTGATGATCATGAGTAATAATTAAATAAAACGTACAATTGTTATCCAATGTATATATCTTAAATTTTATTAAGTTTCTTAAGTGGAAAAGTAAACAAAATTATCAAAGAATTGTACCAAGAATAATTAAGAATAAATGTCACTCTGGAGATTTATTGAATAATTAAGTGAATTTGCTACACAATACACGTAATACCATAATTAAGATACCTCTTAGCACAGCCAACGTACATTGCGCGGATAGACTGGAATTTTCTCGAAACATATCTAAAAAACCTGGAAAAGTCAGGAAATTTCATTCTCCTGTTTGAGTGGCAACCCTGTACATTTAGTAAGGAATTATAAGACAAATAAAATAAAAACATCTGCCCTGAAGGTAAGGACAGTGCTGACAGATCAACTTCCAATTCATTGCGGGCCGCGACGTCCCCCCTCCCCCTCGCGCACGCAGAGCAGCGTGAAATTGATAAACAGATTTCAGAATGGTTAGAGAAACAAAGGATATGCCTTTATCCTTTTTTTTTTTTTTTTTATAGCACTTCCACTTTTTGTTTGATGGACATCGAAACATACTTTCGCTTTGTAGATCCTTCGGGAGCTCCAGCATTGGAAATTCTATTTGACATAATCGAAAGTTCAAGCTTACTTTTATAAAATTGCTCGAACAGTCTGCAAAAAATAATAAGCTGGATCCAATTCGAAGATTAAGTAACAACGCTATCTGCAACATTAACTGAAATAGATAAATAGATAATTTTAGCTTATACCATCCGTTATACATTAAATGCGCATGCGTAAGCGTATTATGCACATGCGCACATGCATATGCGCAGCCGTAAAGGTCTTACTCGCACGTGTAAACGCCTATGCGCATGCGTCAACACGATGCATGTGCAGAAAGTTTGTAGCTTTGAGGTCCAGGTTATAGATTATGGGTTTATTATTCCGGATTATGGGTGTCCAAATTAACGACTTTTAACTGTATATCCAAGTTACATGATGCTTCTAAGTTAATATCTGCTTCACAAAGTGATTGCCCTTGTATCTTGATGATAACCATAGCAAAGGCTAGCTGAATGGGAATCTACACTCACTAGAAATTGAAAGGCTTATTTGTGAAGTGAGTTTATGTGTCTGTATTCCTAGTAAAAATTCTGTCAGTAATGCAGAATTTGCTCTCTATCCATTACTAAATCAATGGATGAAAAGCTGATAAAGTTGCTGATAAGTATTTTCTGGATAAGCTTGTTATGTAATTATGAATAATAATCTGTTCATTGATTAATTATATGAAGAGTTGAGTTTTGCTGCTCTCTCTTTTTTGGGGGGGGCTGAATCAGCTTTAGGAAATAATTATCCAGTTTTGCCAGTTTCTTACGATTTCTTGAAATATAGGTATCTAGTGATGGGCAACTTCGGTACATTCTTGTACCCGGTACGAAAGTAACGGGTACAGAAAAGTACCCGGTATAAAATACCCATTACTCAAGTAACTGTTACTTTGAAAAGTACCGAAAACCGATTTCAAGTACCGAGTACCCAGGTAACGATTTGGAGTACCGAAGTAACGAAATACCGGAGTAACGGTTTGCTGTACCAGAATACCCTAGTAACGATTTGGAGTACCGAAGTACCCTAGTAACGATTTGGAATACCAAAGTACCCTAGTAACGATTTGGAGTACCGAAGTGCCCTAGTAATGATTTGGAGTACCGAAATACGCAGCTAACGATTTTGCGCACTGAAGGAACTCTGCAACGTCACCACGT